TGAGGCGTAACAATGTTTGCCAAAAAAAATAAAAAAGCTATTATTTACATTTTGTTGTGTTTTTATAGGATAAAAACTTTTTGAATTCGGGACTTCTTCCAAAAAATTGGAAAAAATTTTTATATAAATATATTTATTAACTATTAGATTTAAAATTACAGATCATTAATAGGAGAAGTTTTTCATTTTCTTACTATTTATTAGGGGAATATGGTTTTTTAGACTGCATTCGCACTTGGGCGAAGAAAACCCCTAGAAAACATCAACCGTCACTGCTAAAATTAATTGTATCAGGTGAAGAAAAATCAAGTCGTTCCACAATTCTGGTTCATTTGTACAATCGAAAATCGTCAACATGCCACAGTTATTAACCTAAAAAAAGTAGCATTGAAGTAACGGTTTATACCAGGATAATTTTTTAAAGTAAGAACCGCTTTGTAATCCAGTCAGAGAAATTTTATTTATGAATGTAAATTGTATCACAAACTAAATATGAACATTTTTACATTTTTCAACATAGCCACCATAAACATTCAAACACAAGTCAAGTCGTGGCACCAGCTTTTGTGTTACTGTACCCCAAAATATGTAGGTACCAACGATAGGTAACATACTGTATTGTACATATTAAAAATACGAAACCTGCAATATAAATGTTTGTCTGGTATTTATGTACAAATTGTGGGCATGAGATATAATGATAACAAGTGTTAACAATTTATAAAATACAGATTTGCTTAAAGAATACAGCACCAGCCTTGTTTTGTATATACTTGCACGTACAATGTGAATATTATTGAAATCACCTTTAACTATTTGAAAAACAACATTATGCCTCAAATCTTATAATAGCCCTTTCAGACTCAGGTGAATTTGCGGGAGAAGCGAGAAGGTGTCTACACTCAGCGACTGACTGTGTTCTCGACCGTAAAAAAATTTCAACCGTATGTATTCTTATTGGGTCTGGTGTAGTATATTTCAACAGTCTTGTGTGGCTACGTTTTGCCTCCACTCGGACTAATAAGGTAATAAGGGTCTGGAATGTGGCTGCGAGTGAAAACAGTCCCTTTTTCCTTGCTATATTCAGATAATATAGCAATAGAAGTAAGGTTGAGGTTGGCAGCGCAGCACTGACAGCTATTTGAATCTTCTACTGCTTAAGAGGTAGTGCTGCTAGGGCGCTACCTGGTATCCGACTTATTTAGCACGTCATATGAGTGTTATTACCTACTTTCACACCCACTTCGACCTTGATTGTGAACCAAAGTTGTCAGTAAGCAATGTCAGTGTCAGTTGTGAACTGGGCCACTAAAACAAAAATATAAAAAAGAGTATTTACCATTATTCTAATATTTTATTTATCATCCCATGAAAACTGTCTAAACAGCTTTTATTAGAAATATAATACGTTAATCTAGTGATTTGAAAATGGTAAGTATATAGAGTAAATTTGCTTTATAAGGAGGCAAACGTGGCTATTGACTAGACAAAAATATACATTTTTTTAATTATCCTTGATAAATATCTTTGCAAATTCGAGCTTAAGAAAAGTTTCATATGATTTTAAGCACGGCAGACTAAAGGTGAGGACGTCAGAAGAACAAAAGCTCTAAAAGAGAAAGAACAACAGAAGAAGTTAGCAGCATATCAAGCAGGCATACAGAAAATTCTATCCGGTCGGAAAAAGGATAGCTATGATTCAGAATGCTTTGCTTTAAGTGCTCAACTACTAATTGCCAATCCTGATATTTATACTCTTTGGAATTATAGAAAGGAGGTGATCCTTATTGAAAAAGAAGCTTGGTAAGGCTCAGATCAGTTAGACTAATGTAATTTTTGTATTATTGAGAAATCTTTACAGTAACAAATAGTCATATCCATATCCCATTTACATTCAGTTTCACACCTTGGCCATAAAGGCCTGCGTGTGCCGTGTGGGAATGGCAAGTGAATAGAAGTACTGATCAGTCAAAGCTAAAGACACAAAAAATTATAAAGTTATAGGCCAGGAAAACTTGACAGACTTGTCAGGAATTTATACCCTAGTTATGCTAGATTCATGCAAAGTTGATTTAACATAACTTAAGACAGAACTAATGTGTGGCTTGCATGCACCTTATTCCACCATATCTATTTTAGGCAACATGTAACACAAATCATACATTATTTGTTCTGCCTTATGTTCCATATTCAATTCAGGTTCGCATGAGTCCAGCATTATACCATGTACATTCGAAATGAAGCAGTTTCTGCAACAACTTCAAGGGAAAAATATTCTTGAAACATTTTAGAGCCAAATGAATTATAAATCATGTTTTTCAGTGAAGAAAATGGTACCGAAGGTGAAGAAAAGCTAATAAAGTTGCTAGAGGCAGAGTTGAAACTGACAGAACAAAGTCTTTTAGCTAATCCAAAATCTTATGGCTCATGGCACCATAGATATTGGTCTATGATGAACCACCCAAATCCAAACTGGGCTAATGAATTTAATCTATGCACCAAGTACCTCAATATGGATGACAGAAATTGTAAGGAGAATGTCACATGATCAGTTTTCACTGTGATCTGTCAATATTTGCATGGAATGTGGTATTTATTAATTGTGTTGCCTGAATGTCTGTAATTATTGGTGTATGAGGTTAGGTTGAGATCCACTGACAATGACAAAATCATGATAGTGTGGACCACAGTAAATACTGATTGTGTGACATTCACAGTATTTCCATTATCTATTTATTCTCTTCTATTGTTTTTTGATGTTGTAGTTCACTGCTGGGATTACAGAAGACTTCTAGTTAATAAAATAGGTATTAGTCTAGAAGATGAATTAAAATTTTCCAATGATAGACTAAATGCAAATTTTCAAACTACTCCTCATGGCACTATAGAAGCACATTGAGAAGTCTAGATGAGGATAGTATTGGGTAAGTGTTAGCATAATAGCTTGGAAGTAGTAGTATATTTAGCCAAATTTCAAACATAAAGTTCACATGGCATTTCAAAAGAAAAGTTAAAAGTTCACAATAAACGTGAAGATAATACAGAGTGAGTTAACAGTGTTTGTTCCACCACACTATATACAAAAACATGATAAAAAAAACAAGTTAATTATGACTAGGTTATATAGGCAATAAGTTAACTAGTGTTTTTGTTATAGTAGTGGTTAAAGTCAAAACTAGAGTAAAATAGCTACTAATTAAAACACCACATACAAAATTTAAAATAAAAACATATTAATTAACTTAGCAGAACACAAAAATGAAGTTAGAAATCTACTTTGAAAAGAAGTTAATTATGAATAGGATATATAGGCAATAAGTTAACTAGTGTTTTTGTTATAGTAGTGGTTAAAGTCAAAACTAGAGTAAAATAGCTACTAATTAAAACACTACATACAAAATTTAGAATAAAAACATATTGATTAACTTAGCAGAACACAAAAATGAAGTTAGAAATCTACTTTGAAAAGAAGTTAATTATGAATAGGATATATAGGCAATAAGTTAACTAGTGTTTTTGTTATAGTAGTGGTTAAAGTCAAAACTAGAGTAAAATAGCTACTAATTAAAACACTACATACAAAATTTAGAATAAAAACATATGGATTAACTTAGCAGAACACAAAAATGAAGTTAGAAATCTACTTTGAAAAGAATTAGTGTTCGGTTGTGCTATTATCCCCCAGGTGGCGCTGTACCTTAAATCCATTTTAGTGCCTCTCTAATGCCTGTTTTAATTGGGTACTTTCCGATGGATGGATGGATATATTTAATGATAATGTATTTATCTTGTGTTATTTTACTTTCATGCTCTACATTATCGTATTGAGAGCTTTTAGGATTCACTGATGCTTACTAGTGTATGAAACTACCTCTTCTTAAAATTCTTATTGAGTTGTATTGATGAGTGTCTAAGATCAGGCTAGGGCATATTCATAGAAAAATGTTATTTTACTTTTATGGTAAATAATGTCATTGGTATATTTTGTTTAGGTATGAATTGAAATTAGTTCAAAATGCAGTTTTCACTGATCCAAGTGACACTAGTGCTTGGTTCTACCTCAGATGGGTCCTGAGCAACCCAGCACTTACCAAAGATCGGAAAACTGAACTCATGGAAGCTTTAGAACAACTAGAAGAACTAGAACCAAATTGCAAGTGTAAGTTCAAATATTGCTGTTTGTTTTTTTTTCACATCTTGCTTTCCACACCACTGACGAGGAAGTATCGTAACCGCGAAAAATTTCGAAAATGAGATGTTTTTTCGATGTTATATGACATGTGCACTATTTCAGTCGGTCTGTTTGTCCGCTAACCGTTGAATCGCATATAACTCGGAAAGTGCCGCTACGATTCTGATGAATTTTTACATAACAAAACTATTACGCCAAAGACGAAAAAGATTTGTAGTTTTTGAAAATCGGTAGGGACAAAAAACTCGGTCAGGCTTCGCCGTTTTAGAGAATAAAATTCTAGAGGTTTAAAATTGGAGGTTGGGCGAGTGTACAATTTTTTGCGTTAACGATAGACAAATATCTTCAAAACACGCGTCTCTGATTGCTACACTGTCACATGGGTGGGGCTGCTTGCTAATTGTATGGGTCTCTTTGACTGACTTAATCAATTTTTTTGTTTTACATGTTTGTAGCCAACTTTTATCTCTGAGAAGCTGACTTGTGCATCCTGAACTGATGACAGTGTTGCTTGGGGAGTTTAGAGTCAATCTACTTGACGCGATTTTTCTTTCTAGGGATTGTAATGGCCAAATGCTGGTTATCTGGCAGTTTGGCACTGAATGACAAGGACTATGTAGACAGACGTGTGGAATTCTACAAAAGGTTGCTTGAATTGGATCCGACGAGGAAAGGACAGTATTTGGATTACTTGAAAATAGCTGAGGATAAAATCAAACAGAGAGAATGCGATAGAAAATTCTAAATATTTAGGGTTTGGTAAATACAAATCATGTACCATATTTTTTAATTCTTATATTTTATTAATTGATAGAATCCTATATTACAATGTAACGTAAGAAATTATACCAAGATCACTTTCGTCTGTACCAAAGTTTTGTAAAATGTAAATCATCACTATTAAGCCAGCACTCGATAGAGCCAGAAATATAATCATGAATTCGACACTTTTTTATTCATTTCCTTTTTCCTCAAAAATATTTCAGTCATCCTCTTCGTGTTGCTTCTTCAAACTGCCAAACACTTCAGCTGGTACTGTCTGTTTTTCAATGGGCACATCCACCTGAAAATTTGGTAGAAAAAAATTAATATAGTATCCCAAAGACGCATACGTTTTGACATCTACTGTTTGAATTGAAATCTGCAGTGCTCGCAATAATGAATCGGGAAAAACTCATGACTTTATCCAGAACACAGTAAAAAAGCTACTTCTCAGTGGAGATTTGAGATTTCTCGGGTCAGTGGTGGAAAAAGATTTGTGTGAATAATACGCAGATCTGCCTTCTTACACTTACCTCTCCCTCGCCTTCCGCATCTTCATCATCATCTTCGTCGTCATCCCCAATATCAATCTCGTCCGGATTCACCACCCTGGCCTTCTTATCTCCCTGCGTCTCGCCCCTGACGAAGGCGATGCCCTTGCTGCCTCCCGCAGCCGCCGCTGATGTCGTAGCCATTTCGGCAGCCTTGGCTTCCAGAAGCCTCATGCCGTCTTTGGCACCTGGAGCCAGGTCAGCCACTGTGCCTGCGGACGAGCCTGCGCTGCTCAGCATTTGCGCCGACATCATGTTCACCTGGAAGAGAATGGGATGAAAATGGCATAAAAACAGTACTTATAATACTGCTGTTTCATTCTTATTGGAAATCATCAGCACGGCCTTGGCCTCTAAGTAAGATGATGAACGAAAGCAGGGCGAAGTAATTGTACTGTCATAAAAAGAGTGCGCGTTTGACATTTTTAATTCACAGAGTATGTTTCCATTTTATATGGATTATTAGTCGTAGATTTTCTAGCGCTCAAGTAATGGGTTGTCCAATAGGGACGCAGGAAAGTAAACGTCAATTTGACATAGACGCCATCTTTGTTTTCTGTCACCGACATGTCATTTTGTTAGTTGAATGTTTACCATTGATCGCTATGGAGTCGTATTCGATTGAAGACCGCATTAAAGTTATTCAAGAGCACTACAAAAATGGTGCAAAAATAAAAAACACGTTTCGCGCGCTTCGTGAACATTTCGGTCGCAACAACCGCCCAAACGAAACAACCATCGGTCGTCTGGTGCGTAAATTCGAGGCAACAGGTTCTGTGGCAAATCTGCCAGGCTCTGGCCGGCCAAGGAGCGTTCGCACACCGGAAAATATTGATGTTGTGAAGGAGAGTGTGAGAGACGATCCGAAACAATCAACAACGCGTCGATCAGAAGAATTGGGCATTTCGAGAACCAGTTTGCTCCGCATTCTCCACAAGGATTTGAATGTACACGCCTACAAGATCCAATTGACGCAAGAGCTGCGTCAGGCCGACCATTTTTCGCGCCGAACGTTCTCAGATTGTCTCCTTGAACACCGCCAAATTGATGCCAATTTTTCATCAAAAATCATGTTCAGCGACGAAGCGCATTTCACTTTGAATGGGACGGTAAACAAGCAAAACTGCCGCATCTGGGCGAACGAAAATCCCCGTGAGTATCAAGAGCAGCCGATGCATCCTCAAAAAGTGACTGTGTGGTGTGCATTGGGGTCAAAAGACATCATCGGACCTTACTTTTTCGAAAATGCGGCCGGGGACGCCGTTACCGTCAATTCTGAGCGATATCACGTGATGATAGAGGACTATTTTTTGCCGCAACTTGAAGGAATGGATATGGACGATGTTTATTTACAACAAGACGGTGCAACATGCCACACAACCAACGTCAATATCCATCGATTGCAGTCCTTCTTCGGTGATCGCGTGATTTCGCGCAGAGGAAATGTGCCATGGCCACCAAGATCGTGCGATTTGACTCCCTTGGACTTCTTTTTATGGGGATATTTGAAAAGCAAAGTCTACGTCAACAAACCAGCCACCCTCCAAGAACTCAAAAACAACATCATTGCCGAGATAAATGCCATAGAACCGACCATGTTGCAAACTGTCATTGAAAATTTCGACCATCGCGTGGACGTCTGTAAATCCAGTCGTGGTGAACATTTGAGCGATATTATTTTTCATACATAAATGGTATAAATGAACCTTCAAAATAAAGTACCCAACTTGATTTGAATATCGACCTTTCTTGTTTCAATATGCGTTTACTTTCCTGCGTCCGTTTTGGACAACCCCATATAAAATGAGGATCAATCACACTGAACACGAATCTGGAGTCAAAATTGGGGGTCGGTGGACAAATAAGAAAGGAATTTTGGCATTTCATACCAAAATTTTCAATTTTAATGTCTAAATTAATTTCATATTTGCCCTTCTTCCCCGAAATTTTGAATTCAAATTCGTGTTTAGTGTGAAAAAATGCATGAGAAAAATATAGTAGAAACCCCTAGCACAGAACACTTTTTATTTTTTTGGACCTGTGGATCGTTTTTGTACGTTTTATCTAAAGTTTGTCAACCGACACCCATCTTAACTTCAATGTGACAAAATACATGGGAAAAACATAGAACACACCACTTTTTTTAAACTGCCTAATGTTCGCATAACTGCGAAAATCCTCTTGTAGACTGTTCCACAATCTCGACACCCTCAGGACTTAGGAGCGGTCGTATCTTGCAGTTTTAATGTACTATTTTTGAAAGCAGAAAACATTATCAAAACATACCTGTGTATTGTAAACAGCTTGAACACTTCTCTTGATTCTTAACATTTCTCTCATTGTATCTTCATTACCATTTCTAACTTCGAATTCTTTCCATGTCTGCCAGAATTCTGGAGTGACTCTAGGATCGCAAATTTGACTGCAATGTGCATATATCGCCCGAGCTCGATCGATTTCACCTAGAAAATCATTTTCAAGTATTTAAACAAAAAATGACGTCTAAATACATTGTAAATTCGTACATTCAAAACGTTCAAATTTTAGTGACTTTCTCTCATATCCGCACATGAGGGATTCAAGTATAGTAAAAAGTGATAAAAGTATTTATGTTGTCTAAAAAGTATATAACACACATTATGCTTGATTATTGTGATTTAGCACATTTGACATTACTTACCTAGCTTGGTTTCCATATCCGCGAACCTTATGCACATTTCTCTAGCTTGCTCTTCTGGCAGAACCTCTATTGCCTTTTCATAGATCTGTCTTGTTTTAGGCACGCCATATATCTCGGCCGCCTTTTTCACATACACATTGAATACCTGTTGACAAAAAAAAATGTAACACTTTGAAGCAAATTTGACGGACGTAACAGTTTGATTAGTTGTGTAAGCAGTTTAGAAAGAAGGATAACTGAAAATACCTCAAACATTTCATTATCTGGAACTGCTTTTGTAGCCCTTTCATAAACCGCCATAGCATGTCTTGCCATTCCATATTCTTCTTCTAACTTGGCGTATAGCAAATATATAGTTTTGGCAAACTGCGGCGGACAACCATCTAAAAATCAATATAAATACAGCAGACGCTCGATAACGTAAACACGGGATAATAAAAACTTGCGCTAATGTAAACACAAACTTCGTAAACGGAACGCGCGATAACGTAAACAATGTGTACGCTCGATAACGCAAACAACTCTCGGCGCACGGAAACAGCGCGACGGTAAAATGCTGAAGACTCGATTATTTTTGTCGGGCGCCGGGGAGTCCCCGATTTATGATGTAGAGTGTAGGGGATTCACCTCTGCGATAAAATACGACAAACTCGGTCAGTCTTATGATCGTTTAGGATACGTTTATACGTACGTATGTATTTCATTTTTGAATTTAAGTGTTAATATATTTTACGACGAAGTTGCACTAGGTGCGGGAGTGACACAGTTAGCAAAAAAATATGGAGTATCGAAAGGAACAATCTGTAAAATTAAGCGTATGAAAACTCAAATTTACAAAGAACGTGCAATACATTTGGAGGTCCGGGAAAAAGAAAAACTTTAAAAAATGCGAAGGCACCTAAAATGGAAAATTGCCTGTATAAGTGGTTTTTAAAACAACGGGAAAATCATGTCCCAGTTAGTGGCGAAGTACTTAAACAGAGAGCGAGACTGGTCAATGAAAAACTGAAAGAAACTGAAAATTTCGTAGCTAGTGATGGCTGGCTATAACGATTCAAAACAAGATATGGAATTCGACTGCTGTCTATATCTGGTGAAAAATTATCAGCACAACCACAATTAGTGCAACCTTTCAAAGAAAAATTGATGAAAACAATTACCGAGCTAGATTTAAGAATGGAACAAATTTACAACGCAGATGAAAGTGGCCTTTATTGGAAAATATTACCAGAGAAAACCTATGCTGCATCATTTGAAAAATCTGCCCCGGGAAGAAAGCCGGAGAAACAACGAATAACGTTTCTAGCCTGCACTAATGCTAATGGTTCACACAAAATAAAGCCACTGGTAATTGGGAAAGCAAAAAATCCGCGCTCATTTAAAAATGTTAATATCCCTGTTGATTATGACTGTTCAAAGACCGCTTGGATGACTAGCAGTATATTCCTGAAATGGTTCCACAGGTGCTTTGTCCCTCAGGTATGACAATCAATTATCACAAATGCTCTATTCATAATTTGAAGATGTGTTTTCAATTTGTAGGTAAAAGGTTTCCTAAAACAACAGAAGCTTCCAATAAAAGCGTTGTTACTATTGGATAATGCACCAAGTCATCCTTCCGAGCAACAACTGAGGAGCAGGGATAGGTCAATTTTCGTCATGTACATGCCGCCCAACGTAACACCGTTAATTTAACCGATGGACCAGAATATAATAAGACTCACCAAACTATACTATAGGAAGTTTCTACTTTCGTCTGTCTTATCAAAGAATCCTGAAAACTTATCTGAGGCTTTAAAAAAAGTAACATTACGAGAAGCTGTTTTAGATTTACGTATGGCCTGGAATGAACTTAACCAGCAAACTATTCAAAAATGTTGGAACAATCTCTTTTGTCCCAATAATGAAGATGATGAAGAAGACGATGTCCCCTTAAGCGTAATTAGAGAACG